AACTGCCATGTGGGTGCTGGGAACCAAACCCCAGGCCCCTGCAAGAACAGCCAGGGCTTTTAACTACTGAGCCATCTCTCCAGCCCCACAGCAAAAATTTTAAAGTACTGATTGAATTTAAATCCCTTTTGATTTCAGCTTCTACCAAACATTCCAGATCCTTCTTGGAGCAGTCTCAATGATGAAATTGCTCTGTTCTCCCTCTAGAACTTTCTCTGCACATTTACATTGTAATGCACACGAGTGTATATTTAAAAGGATACAGCAATGGTACAAGTTTTCCTTTTGTTCCCCCTCCTTTTTTCCTTTTTATTCCCCACACATGACGTCTTTGAAACTTTTTCCTCTCCCCAAGTTCCTATGAAGTGTATATATTTGCAAGTTGTAAGTGGGCTCCAGGTTCTGGATTCTGACTGGCCTGGACCTGCTCACCTAGACAGCCCACTCTGCCTGATGGCTAGGTTAGGGACCTACGGTAGAAGGTCTGGGTCGCCTTGGCAAGCCCAGGGCAAAATGAAGTCACCGCGTGGGCCGGCAGATTCTGCCCACTTCTGGTACTCTCTTACAACTCCAGGTAAAGGACAGCCTCTTAAAATAGTGTAACAGGAAACTGAAAACGCAGGAGAAAATAATGTCCTGAGGTGCAGTTTCGATGGTTTTAGGACTAGGAAAGGAAAACAATCCAAGAGGAAGGGGTTGCGCGCTCACGCACCATCTTTCGGTCCGGCGGGGATGGAGTCCGGTTCCATCCTTTACCTCTAGCCCCGCAGTGATGGCCTGCACGCCTGGGGCGGTGGGAATTCGGAAGCCTGGGGGAAGGGCCTACCCTCCGTGGGCCCTTGGGGGCCAGGTGCTCTGGGGGAAGATTCCACTGATCCTGGCCAGGCAGGCTCCGGGCTGCAGGTACCTTGGGAGCTGCGGGTGCCCGCTGTGTGCGTGGGGCACGGGTTGGGACGGTGTTGGGGGTGCTGGGCTTTGCCCCCCCCCCCAAGACTGCGGACCTTCCCGGGCTGGGGCAGAGCGGCCTGGCTTTACAGCCAACTTTGTTAGAGTGGCAGAACTGTGGGTCCACCAACTGATGGAAATGAACCTGGGGTAACGCGCTGATCTGTGGAGGACTGGCCTTGGGACGAGGGGTGCGCTGGGCCGGGGAGCACAATGGCCCTCAGACCCTACAGATGGCTTTTATTTTTTCTTTTAAATCATTAAGTTCTTGCAGCGAAGTCACCCCAGCTCCTTAAGTCACCCCAGCTCCTTAACACCTGTGGGAAGAACGTGCCAGCTGTCTGCACAGCTTAATGGTAGGCTGATACCGAACCTCAGTTTCCACTCTGTGTGCGTGCCCATCTCCAGATTTTATTCTTACAGGAAAGTAGAATTTGTAAACCAATGCCCAGAGCATTTTTCTAATTAATGCAGTCTACCTTCATCTGGTGCAGAGAGCAAGGTCTCACCCACCGTGGGAAAGGACTACCTTTTGTTGAGTCAGTATCTTGTTTAATTCCCTCAAGGATTCAACAAAGCAGGTGTGATTCTCCTTATTTTACACTGAGGAATTTGCCCACGTGCACTTTTGTGGGGCTCCCAGACTAAGTTGTGGGGAAGTGCAGGGTTCAGAGTCTGTTAGCTCTGCAGCTAGCTGAGGGTGAAGTCATTTTCTTGCACTTGGTTTTCCTAAATAATGAAATTTTTATTTGTTTTAGTGTCAGGAGTCAACCTCAGGTCCTCCAGTGTGCTAGGCCAACATGCTACCACTGAGTGACACCTCCAAACCTCTAAAATGTTAATCATACTTTGTTCTTAGCATGTATGTGGAATAAAGGAATAACAGTTTGACATTTGGAGTCATTTCAAACCAGATACTTCGAGTTTGGGGAATGGTGATCAATGTGATGTGGAGCCTGAAGATCACTGGTGCCTTCAGAGACACCAGAGGATGTGTTAAAATTGCAGATTCCTGGGCCCCACTCAGATGTGCTGGACATGATTCTCAAGTGTGGTATTTTGGAAACTGCAATTTAGCAAAAAAAAAAAAAAAAAAAAAAGAAAAAGAAAAAAATCACATGGAGGGGATCTTTCTTTTATCATACTTATTAAATAGTTAGTGACCTTTTAAAAATTATTTTTTATTTTATATGTATGAGTGCTCCTGCATGTATCTAAGTGCACCCGTGTCATGCAGTGCCCGAGGAGGCCAGAAGATGGCATCAGATTCCCTGGAACTGAAGTTACCACTAACAGCCAGCCCCCATGTGGGTGCTGGGAACCCAACCCAGGCCCTAGGTAACATCAGCCAGTACTCTTAACTGCTGAGCCATCTCTCCAGCCCTGGGGTCTTGTTTTTTATAGACTGTTCAAGGGCCAATAATTCCTATCCACAAAAAAGCAATTCTGGCAGTGTGGTAGAAAAAAGTGGTAACTTGATTTTTCTCACTTTCAATATAAATAAAATCTGAATCTCTGGTCATAGGCTGCTGGCTTCTGATGGATGAGCAAGAGTGCTGAGCTTGCCAGTGCTTTGTGCTTTCAATTACTGCACTGATTCCCAGGAGAGACTGTTCTCCAGGGACCTTTCTAAAGACTGGAAGCAGGGCACCTCTGGCCTTTTCCAGTTGAAATTCCGTGCTATGGAAGCAAACTGGTGCAGGATTAAATATGTAGGAGTTGGACTTCGTTGTTTTTAGGCTGTATTTCCAGAACTGCTATATGCTTGCCTTTGATGAGTTGATCCTTTGATGAGTTGATCAGCTTCTCAAACCTAATTTTTTAAATCTGTTAAGTAGGAATAATAAATAATACATACTTTAAAGCTTTGGCATATTAAGTGAGTTCAAGGATATAATCTGTAAATTACCTTACATGTACATGTTTGGAATTAATAAATATTCTTTTTACTTTTCTAGTCTTGTATTAAAAATGATTTTCTTTTGCACGACACAGGTGCACTTACCTACATGCAGGCAATACATGCATACACACAAAATAAAAATAATAAAATAAAATGTTTTTTAAAAAATGAGTTTCTTTTGTCAACTTGCCATTAATGAGACATGGAATATTTGAGACTAAGAAGCTACTGCTTTTCACAAAGAAAAAAAAATTCTTTTTTTTCTTTTGTTTGAGACAGGATCTCCTTAGCCCCAGCTGGCTTTGAACTCAATATGTAGACCAGGCTGAGCAGAATCTCACAGAGATCCACCTGCCTTTGCCTCCTGAGTGAGTGCTGGGATGCTGGGACTAAAGGTGTGTACCTCCAGGGTCTCGTGGCTTGGCTTAGGCTAACTTTAATTCACTTTGTTGTTCCTTGAACTGATCCTTCTGCCTCAACCTCTCTTTAGGCATGTATTACCTTGCCTTGCCACAAAGAAAACTTAAACAATTCCATTAGAAAGAAAATTTCACAGGGTCAGGAGTATGACTCAGCTGGTAGAGCAAGAGTTTTTCTAGCATGTACCAGGCCCTGGTTTCCCTTCCCAGCATAGCAATAAATACATAAGTTGTATCTATTTTACAGTTGATTTACAAATCATAATTTAGCACTGTGATGAGTAGAGTAATACTTGAAATTTTGCCATTTATTATACCAAAAAGAAAGTTCAAGAAAGAAAATTTCCACTGTCTACTTAAACTTTACTTTGAATAATGTCCAATTTATAGAAAATTGCAATAGTACAAAGAAACTCTTGCACGCTTTTCTTAAATTCAGAAATGCAATTCAAGGACTTGGTGTTTATAGTATCTTTTAGGACAGGTGTGTAGTAACAGGACCAGCGGTGAGTCTTGATTACTGTTTTGATAAGGGTAGTACATCTTTTATTTATGTAATGATGTGCTAATGTCAATCCACACCAATTCCTCACATCTCTGGTGGTCCACTTCAATTCCTCACATCTCTGGTGGTCCACTCCAATTCCTCACATCTCTGGTGGTCCACTTCAATTCCTCACATCTCTGGTGGTCCACTCCAATTCCTCACATCTCTGGTGGTCCACTTCAATTCCTCACATCTCTGGTGGTCCACTCCAATTCCTCACATCTCTGGTGGTCCACTTCAATTCCTCGCATCTCTCATGGAAGATTCTCTTCTCTTCGGCAACCTGGCACTGTTACATGGTATTTCTCATAATACTTTTTTTTAATTAATTTTTTTGCCTGTATTTTTTTTTCATAATCTTTAAAAATTTTTATTTGTATTTTTTATGTGTATGACTGTTTTGCCTGCATGTCTGTAAGTGGACCACATGGGTACAATGCCTGCAGAGGCCAGAAGAGGGTGTTGGATTCCTTGGAACTGGAGTTATGGATGGTTATTAGCTGTCATGTGGTTGCTGGGAACTGATCCTAAGTCCTCTGCAAGAGCAGCCAGCATTTTTAATCACTGAGCCATCTCTCCAGCTTCTAAACTATTTTTATTTCATTCATTGCTCATGGGTGTAGGTGTGGGTATGAGTGTGCTGCACTTTTACCATGGCATACATGTCAAGGTCTGAGGACAAGTTGCTGAAATAAGTTATCTGCTACCATGTGGGTTTCAGGGATTGAACTAGGGTCACCAGGCTTGGCAGCAAGTGCCTTTACTTACTGAACCATCTCACTAGCCCCAAAATATTATTCTTAATGTGCTGTATCAATGTATTTATTTCCCAGCTTGGTATTTCTGCTGCAGAGATCATGGAACAGGTTTTATATCTGATTAAGTAAAAGAATTTTTTGATAACACCCAAATTCCTTTCAGCTTCTTTCACAAGGAGCTCGTAGATAGGGATTTGTCCTCTTAAAGTGAACCAGCTTATTTTTAGGGCACAGACAGAAGAATTCTCTCTGCAGAGATTGCTTGCTGGAGCTCCCCATCTGTGTTCACAGTAGATGGTTTGACCAGATTTCCTCATGGTTCACAGTAGGGAGACCACTGGTCCTCCAGGAATGCTTCTTTTTGGTTCAAACTGCTACAGAGTCCTGCTTTCACATGCACTGCTGACCAGTTCTTCTTTTCCTTCTAGAAATGACACTCCTCTCCTCCCAGTCTCCGTCCCTGGTAGCCTCCTCTGGCTCTGTGTCCACTGAAAACCCAGAGCAGAGGATGATGGAGAAGAGAGCCAAGGTGGTGGAGGAACTTCTTCAGACAGAAAGGGACTATATCCGAGATCTGGAGATGTGCATTGAGAGGATCATGGTGCCCCTGCAGCAGGCACAGGTGGGACACAGAAGCAGCTGGACTTTCAGTGTGGTGCTTTAAGCCTGAAGTGTTAGGATTCCAGAAAGGCTGTGACTTTGATTGCAGTATTATAATTACAAACTAAATGGGTTCCATAAACATTTTGGTGGTGGAGGAAGGAGCAAAGATTCAAAAGGACAGATTTATTTTGTCTCAGATTCAGAGGCTTCAGTCTGTAGTTGGTTGACTGTTCCTTCTGGGCCTGTGGCAAAGCAGCATATCATGGTGGGGAGAGTATAGAACAAAGCTGCTCGCTCATGGCATCCAGGAAGCAGAGAGAAGGGGCTGGGGTCCCAGGTATCTCCTTCAAGGGCATGCCCTCAGTGACCTAACTTAGCTAAGCCTTTCACACATGGGCCCCTAGGGGTACATTCCAGATCCAGACCATACCTTAGTTAAGGACAAAGGATGACACCAAAGATAATGTTGGATGCCTGTTCTGGAAATGTGGGAAAGTAGAAAACATGACCTTAGAGAGATTTTCATCTGTGTGCATCTTTGTTTTGTTTCCCTTGCTCAGGTACCAAACATTGATTTTGAAGGACTTTTTGGAAATATGCAGACAGTGATTAAAGCCTCAAAGCAATTGTTGGCTGCCTTAGAAATCAGCGATGCTGTAGGTATGAGCTCCTGTCTTTGCTTCACTTGGGAGGGGCTTCGGACGCTGAGTGGTGTGCTGGGAAAATGACAGTTCACATAGGTTCAAGGTTATTCAGCCCCCACTTTCCCTTCTATCTCAGTTTGCTTTGAAGTGGTTAAGCATGTTACCTCTAGAAGTTATAGAACATAATGGTTTTCAGATTGGAGGGTCATGATCAACTGAGTGGGCCACACTCGGTATATATTTTTGAGCAAAATAAATAGAAAATACCAGAATATACAGTAAGTAATAACTACTGTGGATTTAAAAAAAAATTTTATTTCAATTTTATGTATGCCAGGTCATGTACTTAAAGTGATATAAGTTGTAATCATGGGTAGAAGTAGCGAGATCAGAAGTTCAGAGTTGTCTTCAGCTTCATAGCAAGTTTAAGGCCAGCCTGGGCCGCATGAGACACTGTCGCAAAATAACAACCAAAAAGTACCTCTGTGGGTAGTTGTCAAAATATTCCAGGAAGCTAGGTATGGTGGTGCACGTCTTTAATCCAAGAAGAGGCAGGCAGATAGTTTGGTGAGACAAAGCCAGCCTGGTCTGTAGTGAATTCCAGGCCAGCCAGGACTACATAGTGAGGCCGTGTCTCAAACAAGCAAAGAAAAGCTTGTCATTTTAAGAGTTTACCAAACCTTTACCAGAACTCCTCAGTCTGGTTTCTCTTTGTCATTGTCTAGTCATGTTCCATGCATGTGCCTGAAGTCACTGAAAGGAGAGCAGGGTCGTGCTGTTGTTTCAGAATAGGCAGAATTTGCCTGACTTACACTGGAGAAAAGTGGATATGGGAACAGAATCAGGGCCCTGCCTTCCTCAGGGAAGGAGGAAAAGGCCATGCCAGTGTGACCTGGTTGCCTGTGGTGTTGATGAGATAGACAGTGCTGAATCTCAGAGGTTCCAACATCCCTGTGAGGTTTGATACTCTTAATCTTGTTTTACACAAGAGAAAATTGAGATGCAGAGGGAAGGAAATTTGGCCAAGGTCACATGGCTCCTATTGAATGGGATTAACATTCCAACTCAGGTCTCTGTCATCCACACTCACCCTGTTAAACTCTTTTTTTTTTTTTTTTTTTTTGGTCTTTTTTAAAGACAGGGTTTCCCAGTAGCCCCAGCTGGCCTGGAACTCATTATGTAGAGTAGATCAGGCTGGCCTTGAACTCAGAGATCTGCCTGCCTCCCAAGTGCTGGGATTAAAGATGTGTGTTACCATGCCCGGCTTATTAAACTCTTTTATACAGACAACAACTGCATGTTTAGTTTAGCACACTGAAGTGATAAGAGAAACTGCAGCCTGGGGATCTTGCTCTCAGTCCAACCAGAGGTCAGGGAGGTGAGGAAGGAGAGGCACACATTGAAGTCTTAGTGGGCCAGCTTTCACACAGTGGTAACGCATAAAGGCTAATATGTAAGATCTTACAATGCATTTGAAGTACCAACTTTTCTATTTAACTTATGAAAAAAGTGAGACATTTAGCTGATACCTAAAGGAATTAATGAACCATTTTCCTTCCAGTTTATTCCATTATGTGTTGTAATGTTTGGGTCTTCAGGTGGTCCTAGTTAACCCACTTCACCAGAGTGACTTTCCTCTTTGGTCCTGTATCATATCAAAGATGCATCTTAGATACCAGCTGGTGTTGGGGGTTTTAGAGGCAACACACTTACAAGATGGATAGTGGGAGCAGGTGGTTATATGGGCAGACAGTCGGGAGTCAGATGACCCACCTTACCAAGAGGGTCTCCATACAAATGTGGGAATTCTCCCCACTTCATATACCTGCATTCAGTTGAGGATAGTGAGGCATCTTTCATGAACTAGGGAGTTCAAGCTGTTCTTGTAAGATAGAGCTTTGCTTTAAGGTTTGAGAGAGTTGCTTCTTTGTTGGATGGTTTTGCCCCAAGTCTTCCCTTCCAGGGGTTTGACTAGGCCTCACCGCTGTTAATCTTATAGCTAAATGTCTCTTAGAGTAGGTAGATTTTAGCAGTAACAAAGTAGGGGAATAAAATGCCCATAGTCCCACCCTCGTACATCTGTTTCTTTTATTTTTGAGACAGGGTCTCCCTATAGCCCCAGCTGTCCTGGAACTCACTATGTAGACCAGGCTGGCCTCGATCTTACAGATCTTTGTCTGCCTCCTGAGTGCTGGGGTTAAAATACCTGACTTCATCTGTTTAATTTTAATTTTTCCCTTCATTCTTATTTAAATCGAAAACAGAATCGAATAGCAGACTTAGATGTGTATGGGGAAGTAGAGTGGTCTTAGGAACAGAAAGGCTCAGAATCCAGGCAGGAGGCTCAGCCTTACAAAGGGGGCAAGCGGGTAGTGGTAATGCCAACAGGGGATGTGAGAGCCCTGTGCACTGGGGCTTCCATCTCAGACAGCCTCCCGATCCCTCAAGGCCAACCAGTATCCTCAGGGGCAATAAGAGACAAGGGGTCGAGCATCTGATAAAGGAAGGGTCTGAGAAGAAAGTAAAGCTTTGTGAAGCTACTGGGAAAGGTCAGATGGACATGAACCACCCTAGCAATTTATTAAAGCTTGAGTTCACCTTAATATAATTTTAGTTTAACTAATTTTCATATATTTATACAGCACAAAATTTGAAACATATGAAAAAAATTAATAGAAAGCCCCTTCACCATCCCAGCCACCCAGCTCTTCCCAGACACAAGCAGCTATTGTTAGTATTTTTCTTGTCACCATCCAGAGACAGTGTCGTGTACCAGCAGTCACACGAGTTCTCTGTCCCACTCCCCCTCTCTCTTTCCTCTCAGTCCTGTACTTCCTAAGCAGTTTGTGATGCTTAAGTTATTTTATTTTTTAATTTTATGTGTGTGTGCCTGGGCGTATGTATCTATGTGTGTATAGGTGCCTGCAGGGGCCAGAGCTGGAGTTACAGGTGATTGTAAGCCACCTTGGGGGTGCTGGGAACTGAATCCTGGTCTACTGCAAGAGCAATGAGCACTCTTAACCACTGTGCTATCTCTTCAGCCCCTTATTTATTTATTTATTTTATTTATTATTTATTTTTATTTATTGATAACACTGGGTTTTGCTATGTAGCCCAAGCTAGCTTTGAACTCTTGATCTTCTACTTTAGCCTACCAAGTTCTGACGTCACAGGCATGCACTACCAGAAAGAAACATACGTTACATAGTGGCCCAGAATACATGCTTATGTATGTCTCGGCATAGTTTTACTGGATCTAATGTTTTCTGATATATTTTCTTTCTCTTCTCTTTTCTTTTTTTCATCTTTTTGACACAGGGTTACCCTGTAGCCCCAGTTGGCCTGGAACTATATAGACCAGGTTGGCCTTGATCTCACAGAGATCTGTCTGCCTCCCAAGTGCTGGGACTAAAGGCTAGTGCCACCATGCCCTGTTGTTACCAGTTTCTTATCTCATTTATATAGTGATTTGTTGTGCTTTACATGTAATAAAACATAGCAATGAGCCTGACCACCAACACCAGTTCGCTGTAAATGAGATAAGAAATATAACTTCTAGGAGTGGTGGCACTTTGCCTTTAGTCCTAGCCTCGGATGACAGAGGCAGGCAAATCTCTGTGAGTTTGAGGCCAGCCAAGGCTACATAGTGAGATCTTGTCCCTCAAAAACAAAACAAACAAAAAGAAATACATGTTATATCACAGATTGGGGATTTTTAAAAATATTTTATTTATTATTTTTATTTTATGTGTATGAGTATATTGCCTGCATGTAGGTAAGTGCA